TCGTAGATTCTACTTTATCTCATCTTTGCTTACGCCCACTTCCCGAAGTGCAAGGTGATGCAACTTACCCACAAAGGAGCCGGAAGGAGCAGGGCAATGCAGGCTTCTGAAAACATGAAGTGACTAAAAACTAACGGCTCCAGCAGAACTCTGCTAAGCTACACTTACCAGAAGCAAAATGCACCACCCCCAGGCACACCTCTTGGAGACAGACACTTCATCTTCTACCCGCTCCTGGATAAGCCAATAGACATGCTCATGCACACATAAAAGATACCTCTTCCTGCTTTTCCACTCAGTTCACTCCCCACTCTCTTACACATGCACATGAAAATTACATAGCATTCCCCCTTCATATATGTCAGATCCTAGAGTTGACCACTTACTCTTCCCTTCCCCTTTGCATTCCTTGCAGCTCAGTGGGAAGCAAGGGGAAGCACAAAAAAAAATTAATGATTATAAATATTTTTCCATCTTCATCCAATACTTAAAATTTAAATTAAGGACACTTTAAAAATGTTTAAAAATAAAATGGAAACAATAACACCTTATATTAACTTTGGAAGTGGATGTTGCCTGTGCCTACGCATAACCTATTGACATCATTTAAATGAAATAAAAACAAGATTAATAAAGTTTGATGAGGACCCGTTTGCTGCAAGTTTTAAAGATCAAAATACTGAGCTGACAAAACTAACTCAGCACTGTACCTAGACTCCTGGTGGCCCTGGGAAAACATTTAGCATTGGGCCCCCTTTTGCCGGAGACAAGGATAATAATAATCAACAAATTACCATTTTTGGGCCATCCTTTCTGTCCAGGCCCTGGGCAGCTGCCTGGTTTACCCATGCCTGTGTCTGGCCCTGAACTAACTGACTGGGCACCTGGGACAGCCAGAGTGGAACAAAGTGCTGAGCCATAGCACAGATCTCTTCTCTGGGTGAAGGGAGTGACTCTGGTCATTGTATCTCATTCAGCTGGTTTAGTTCCCCAACCAGCAGGAAAACAAACAGGAGGTGAAAAAGAAGCTCCTTTTCCTCTTTGCGTCAATGAATACAAATGTGGTGTGTGAGAACAAAATCTTAGTTCTGCCATTTAGAAAATGTGGTGAGCAGAAACAATCAGTTAAATCACTAGCTACAGATAATACATCTTTTGTTTAGCTCGTCTGTTTTAAATGCAAGACATGTTTTGAGAAACTTGCATTTTTCTTTCTGTTTGCAGCACACAGAAGGGAGATTAACAGACAGAGAGCAACTATCCAATACCAGGCATATGCATTCCAACAGCACAAATCACAAGGGGGGAAAAATCCTCCAATAGATCAAGGTGTCACCCCTTGTTTTTTAAATAAGTTAAATAAGTTAAGTTATATAATTGCTTAAGCAAAGGGACCTAAGCATTGTGCATCCTTCTGCTTAATCAAACAACATACCAAAGTGGAACAACTAATGGGAGTGCAGTTGGCAGGAGGAAATCAGTTGAAGGGGACAAACGCAAAACGGGACTAAAGGCACCGATTCAAATGGATCCTTTCCACACCACACTCCTCCACAACTCCCCCACACTCAGATTCTTTCCTCCTCACACATTCACAAGCACTCTGCAACCTTCCCCTCCCCTCTTCCCTGCCATCAGCCTCCAGGCTGTTCACAGCAGAGCAGCTTTCCTACTCTTCCTGAGCTTTGAATCCCTTCCAGGTGGGCCTTGGCTGGACTTTGAAGCAGGAACAAAGAAGGTGCAGACCAAGCCCATTTGAATTTATTCCCCGCCCTTCTCCTCAACCCAGAGAAGCAACAAACACGGAGGCTTGCGGTTCGGATGCCCCCGAGTTTTGCTTGCCCTCAGCCTTAAGGCCCTTGGAGCAAGCAGGGGAGGAGACTCCCATTTCCATAAACTGGGCTTAAAGCTGCTACACCTCGGCAGGTGCTGAACCACGGCAGAAGAGCAGTTCTCCTGCGAAGCGGTTCAGGAAAACTGCCTTCTTGGACACAGATACAAGGTATTTCCCCTGCCAGGTTAAGAAGCTGCTACACTTGATCTGAGCCTTCCAGAAGCCAAGAAGTGACTGGGAGACATGAGTTTGTGTCTGTGATCACTCCAGAGAGACCAACACTGATCTAGGGGCCCTTGATAAGGGAGACATCTGCAAAGAATGGGGAGAACCTTAAAGAATTCATCTTCTGCTCTCCCCACGCCTGCCACAGCACATAATATTCATCCCATGTGTGAACAGCACCCACCATTTTTTTAAATTTAAATGAGCTCTCACTGCCTCCCACCACTTTCTGAGGTGAGGCTGAGGTGTGCTGTGATGGTTTCCACTGTGCTCAGCTGCCAATCCTCAATCAGCCACATTTCAAAGAGGAAAAACCCACATGTTCTTCCACTCCTACTGTGGCACCTGGCACTTCAGAGGAATCTGGGCTGCTCTGAAGTTTAACTCAGGGTCTTAACATTGCTTCAGAAGCTGTTTGGAGCTTCTCATCATTTGAAAAATCCCTTTGCTTAGAATTATGAAATTACTATGAAATGAAGAAGATTCCCAGCTAGCTTCTCCACCAGCATAAACCAGTGCAAACCCAGGAAAACTCAAATCAGTCTGGCTCCACTGAGGTTTCTCTGGGGTTGGATGCATTTGCTGGCTGTGTTATGCAGAACAAAACACTGGGAACAAAAAGAGAGATTCCCACAATGTAGTATTTTTAGACATAAATGGCCCAGGCAGAACTTAGCGTATCACAAGAATGACAAGACTTTAAGATCATGTGGAAGATTCTGATTCAAAAGCGTGACTGATACAGACATTATTGGACACTGCTGGTGGAAACAAATGGGAAAAGGAACGAAGACCACAGTTTTGAAGTTTAAGGGAAGCTGCTCATTTGACAATAACGTGTGTGCCTGAGCTGGAGGAAGGAGGCAGATCTGACACGGTTAGGGCAATATAGAGATCCCCACATTGACTAATCTGTAACTGAATCTCCCTTGGGATGCTGAAATCACAAAGGAAGCACTCTGCAGCTGAAGAGCAGATGCTCACAATGCAGCTGGGATGCTCTGTAGACATTACTTACCCCTATGTTTCATCTACGCACAATACCCATTAAGGGAAGTGGCGGGTCTATGTCAGTGGTTTGCACATGCCTTCTCTTGCCTTTTGAGAATGACAGAATTAAAAACAGACATCAATCTTTGGAATTTCCTAGTTGAAACTCCCAGTATCTGAGCAGCCAAAGCCACTTCACTTTGCCATTGTAGCAAAACTAACGACTCAGCTTGCTTCCTCTTACGAAAAATACAAAAAATGTCCCCCAGTGAACAAATACCCATATACCATACTTATTCAAATACAAGATGAGGTGTGGCCCTCCTCCCCTCCCCTCCATTTACCACGGAGAAAAAAAGCCCCTTGTCTTAGATTTGGGGGGGGGGAGAGACGAGACAGGAAGCTGCTGTAGCTCCAGCCAGAGATGCTACCACCAGGTCAGGCTCAGGCTCAGGCCATGCTCTGTGCCCCAGGTTGAAGCAGAGCCAGAGCCTGCAGAGCAAAGGAAAGGGAAGTGGTGAGGGGGAGGGACGGCAGGCTCAGGGAGGGCAAGTAGTGGGGGCACGACAGGCTTCGGGGGCAAGATGTGGGAGGCAAGTGGCAGGGGTCATGCAGCCCCTCACTGTCCCACCATCACTTGCCCCCCTGCAGCAGTGTGGGGGGATGGACAATAAATTTAAGATGACCCTCCAATAATTAGATTCTATACATGGAAAAATTAGAAACACATTTACACAGTTTCCATGTATAGAATCTAATTACATTCAGGGTATATTGGATTTGGATAAATATGATAATTTTCTGCACGTACATGCATCTCTGGCACCAGGCTGGGCAATATGTTGCCCTCACTCAGTGCTGTTTTCACAAACGAGGCACACAAGCCCTCTAGGCATTGCTATACAATGTACAATGCCAGGTGGATGGCTAGCTAGCACCTCACATCACAGAGATCAATCCTGGAAAGTGCCAAGTACCTCTACCAGGGCAAAAAGAGTCAGATTTCTGGAATTTCACTGAACATCTTTTTTGAGAGCATCATAATTCAGTAGTCCTTTGTCTAAGTCTGTGATTTTCAGCCTGTGGTCTGCAGACCCCTGGGGGTCTGCAGATTATATCTAAGGGGTCCATGAAAGATGACTACAATCAATCAAAAGTATGTGAATACCCACACTTACAATTCAAAGAGGTTGGCACCTCCATTCAATTTTTTTGAAGGTCCACAAATGAAAAAAGACTGACAACCACTGGTCTAAGTCACTTCACAGTTGGTGGAAAAATCCCAAGGAGAATTCAGTTACAGACTAGTCAGTCTGAGCACATGCAATCATTTGTGTGGGGGGGGGGGGGGGGG